CCTTTGGTTTTCAAGTCTTCTAATGCGACACCAACTGGCTTTTACACAACAAATGCAATACAAGCAAACTCTCCTTTAGAGAGAGAAAGAGAGCTAGGGGATGAGAGAGAGGAAAAGATATCGACGTGGTGTGAGAATCGCGATGGAGTGAGAGAGATCGAGAGAGTATGTTTGAGATTGAAAAAATCACCCGATAACACCAACTATCTCATTATCAATCATTTTTAAACAAAAAGATTTATGGATTGAAATAATAATATGATACATTAAAGATAAAATTTGAAGATAAATTTGTTGATGGTGAGTTTCGGAGAGGTCCGTGTATCTTGCGAAACTGGCTGTCGTTGACAAATGAGTCTGCAACAACGATCATCGACATTGGTTTGGTGTCCTACCTAGCTAACAGTCTCTGACGGTCAAATTAGTATTCAGAGAGGAATAATATAGCAGAGAGCACTTTAGTAAATTAGCGACAAAATTTTCACTTATCCTAATGATTGTGGTGGTTCTTTCCTTTTAATAGGTACTTACGACTAAGGAGGACCACCTATTTGTGGCAGGACTGGTCGAGTCGACGTCGTACGAGATTCTAACGGGCGGTTAGAGGACATCCTGACGGAGCGACGGTAGTACTGTGACCTGTCACACTATTCTTAGCAGATTGTCGTTCGCCACTCGTACCATGCAATAGGTGCCCAGGCCGCATCTTCCTTCCATCGTATGTCACGTTTAATTTGTGGTCCCCCATCCAAGTGTAACCCTTCGAGCCTGCCATGTCATCTGTTCGACTTTCACCCTCAACAAAAATAAAAATGGAAATGACTCATATCTAAAATCAGCTTCATCATGACTATATACTTAAAACAACCATTTACTTTAAAGAATTTATATCTTGAGTTTGAATCTCTCCACATCCAACTATCTTGTTTTTTTTTCCCCTTAAAAAGTAGCATTATATTTTTTAGATAATTACGTGTTGACATCGGTACTAAACAAGACTCTTAAAAGAGACTCTAAACTACATTGTGGGACATATCATATATATAATTATATAATTATATAAAAGTGCCAAAATTGAAAAGAATAATACGTGTGAAGTTGATAGGAGTAAATAGTAAGAGGCAATTAATTCAACTTAAAACTAATTCAATTAATTAACCTAATTATACTATTAATCATATATTTGGATACAGCAAAGATTTTAGGGAAAATGTGTGAAGAGAGAGAGAGAAAGGACTAATTAGCAAAATTGTCATCTTCAACCTCATTGGAGAGAAGAGACCAGTCACGGGTTCCTCTTGACTCTCTCTCTCTTTCACTAAATTTTTATCTTTTTCAATTTTTTTATTATGTATTTTTATTATTATATTATATGTAAAGCTAATTTAGCTGTGTGCATAAATTCAAATTCATCCCCACCTATATTTGTCCCACAAATCTCCATCAATTATTTCCATTTAATTAAGACCCAAAGTTGTAATTGTTTTTTTTTTTTGGGTTTTTTTAGGTATTGATTTTTTTTTTGTAATTTATTAATTATTTTCACTAGATATATATAGCAAGGGGATGGATCTATATATATCATAAATATTCTTCAAGACAGAGCAAGTAAAGTAGGGTTAATTCAATGTCATGTTTGAAGACAAGTTTTTGGTTGAAATGTTGGAAGTTTTTGAACTTTTTGGTAAGAAAAAGGGAAGTTTTGACTTGCATGTGTGGTAAAAATAGGGTTATTAATTGTGGTAAAATTTTGTTGATGCTCCCTTGCTTCAAATTTTGTCTCTCTTACCCCCTTTATTATTATTCTAATTATTTATGAATTGAGAGTTGAAATAATGAGTTTATTTTTATATTTTTTAATATGTTATCACATTTTATCTAATTTGGTTTGATTGGTTAAGACACTTGTTTATACTCTGGTAAGTTCAAATCCCGACACCACATCATGTTTTTTATTAAAAAGAAGATTTTTTTTTTACATACTCAAACTGTTTTCTATTTTTAATTTTGTTTTTGTATTTATTTATTATTTTTTGTGAGTGGGAGATTCAGACTCACCTTTTTTGCTATCTTATTATATTATTATTATTATTTAGTTCGACAATATGTTGAATGGGAGATTCGATTCAAACCGACCTTTAATTTGATCATATGATTTATGTTTTAACCAACTACACTTAGATTATCACATTTAACAATCTTATCTAGCATCTATTTACGTCATTTCTTCTTCTAAGAGTTTATTCTCAACTTAGAGTTGTTCAGAAAACAAATTTCAATTTATTACTTTTTAAAAGTTAGATTCTAACCAGGCACATTTATTTTCAAAAGTCGGCCATCAAACATAAAATTTAAACTCAAAATTTAATTTCAATTTTCCAAATTATACTATCTAACACATTTTCAAATTCCTGAAAGGTATAGATCAGCTCGTTTTTTCTTTGTTCTATTCATTATTTTCATGTAAAGAATCAACCATAGCATAAAATTTCTTAGAATCACTATATTTCATATAATGAAAAATAAGCTCATGTTAACATCTTAATTAAATACATTAAATGAACTTAAGTATATTTGAACTAATTTTTCATTCATGAATAGACAAGATGTACCTAGTGACACTGTATTTCCAACATTGTACTAAATTTTTTTAGTACTTATATTTGGATTCCTCTCTTTCCCTAGTGGGAATATAGAACAATTTGGAATAATTAAAATAAGGAAGAAAATGATATAAAATTAATTTAGTTAATTAAGGAAGTTATTTTTAGTCTGATAATGATATCAAATTTAACCAAACGAATATCATCTCAACCTTAAAATAGATTTCATATGCAGCCACAAATTCTTTGTAAGAAATGGAAACAAATCTAATGAAGAGTTGTAATTAAAAATACGAAGAACATTTTTTCCTCTAAAAATTATTGGAAAACATTTAACAAAATAATATAGGTAAAAGAAGAACAGTGATGGTCGTTTTAGCATGAGTGCATAAACTAAAAATGTGTAATAATTTAAGACTTTTTGAAGCCATGGAGTACATGAATTATTTTTATGGAGAGAGAGAAAAAGGAGGGGAAAAAAAAAGAGGAATTAAAATTTTAATTTTGAAGAAGGCGTGGAAGAAAGATCCAAGAGGGGCACCGCTAATGGGCTATGGCCACCCTGTCCTCAGCCTGTAATGTCATTTTCTCATCTTAAACCACACCTCTCACTCATTTTCGCTGTGTTTGAGGGTGTATTTTGGAAATCGTAACTTAAAAATAATTTTCTCTCGAAATGAAAAAAACAATACACCTAACGAGAAAAGAAAAAAAAACCACTTTAGAGAATAATATAATTGTTGATATGAGCTTAAGATTTGGGGCGGACAATATTACACTATCATATCAATATACGAGAGATACGTTTTTCTAATAATAAAATAGTATTTATGTAGTACTTTTGTCTCAAATACTTTGTGAAAGAGTATTTTTTAAATGGTATAACTCAAACGTGGAAATGATTTTGTTATTGAACTTTTTTTTTTAAATTTAAAGTATTTAGAGATTTCTAAGGTGTTGTTTGATAGCAGTTTCGCTTTTAGTTTTTCATTTTTAAAAATTATGTTTGTTTTTTACAATTTCATTATTAAATTTTTTACCTTTTTTGAAATTATATTTTTAATTCTTAACTAAATTTCAAAAATAAAAACAAGTTTTTATATATATTTTTTGACTTCTCACTCGTTTCCTGGATTGAGAAACATTATGATCAATGTAGGGACTTAGCTTGAGATCTTAAAGTAGATGATATCACAAGGCTTCAACGGTTTGTTACTGCACCATCATCTTTCAAGGGAGAAACAAAAATAAGTTTTTGAAAGCTATTCTTTTTTCAAAATTTGGTCTAAATTTTGAAAATATTAAAAAAATTATATAACAAAATAAAATAAAGTAACGTTTCTAAACTTCATTTTTAAAATAGAAAACTAAAAATGAAATTGTTATCAAATGAGGATAAATTGTTATCAAATGTAATATTAGAAAATATTTAATAAAAATTTATGAATCTATACCTTTTATACCGTTATGAGTTATTATTAAAGAGGAACAAACCACCACTCAACCCAAAAACTTAAATTAATAGGTTGGATAAATTTAATTCATTTATATTGGATATCATCTTAACGATTATCAACTTATATAAATTGAAGATTTGTAGAATTTTTGAAGGTGGTTTTTCCATATTTTCAACATCTCTAGTGTTGATCTTTTGTCAGAGTCGACTCGTTTTGGAATATATTAATATTCCTCTCTCTAGTAATAGGAATATTTTGCTTTAAAAAAACAATCGTCTCTTCACACATATTTCTAAACTTGTGACAAAAAATTTGTGGGAGGACATAAAAATGGGAGCTTTTTATCTTGGTCCACGAAATCGATATTCTTTTTTAACTACAACATTTCCATCATCTCATTGAAGTGGATTGCCTTTTACTTAACTTTCCCGCATATATCTCTCATATACTTTTTGAAGGGATGATATGCAGGTTTCTAAAAAAAAAGTTTATATAAATTAAAATTTTAAAAATATATGAATTTACTACTTCACTCGTTTGGAGTGCTCTCTTATCCATTATTTTGCATGTCTCTCACATACTTCTCAATGAAATATTCGGTTATCTTTCAAAAAATAAAACTTATATAAATTGAATTTTTCCATCTTCACTAGAGTGATTACAATTAGCCCAAATTTTACTAAAAATTCACTCAATCCCAAACATATCCTTTTTCTCTTTTGTTCCCATTTTTCTTTTGGGTCTCTCTCTCCCCTCATTTTCATCATAAGTAAAGAAAAAAGAGAGGAAAAAAAAAGAAAAAAAAACTAAAAAATTCAACACCCCACCCCATGTTTTTGTTCATAGATTGTTCTAGAGAGAGAAACTTTTTTGGAGTGGTACGACATATATATAAATTTCACCATCTTCCCTTCTTATCTTCTCCTGTTCCTCCCCCACCCCCACTTGCTCCTTTCTCCCACACCATATATAAATAAATACTCTCACATACAGCCATACCCACACCAAAAATACCAAAAAAAGACAAGTTTTATGGCAATTGCAGCCGCCGCGAGCAGTTCATCGACGATGAGCCACGAAGAAATCAGCAGCAGCGGCAACAAAAACAATAACAGTAATAGCCAATTAGTGGATAATAATGGTGATGACCACCAACACGACGTCGTTATGCCCGGCTTCCGCTTCCACCCTACTGAAGAAGAGCTGGTAGAGTTCTACCTTCGCCGTAAGGTCGAGGGCAAGCGCTTTAATGTCGAACTCATCACTTTCCTCGATCTTTATCGCTATGATCCTTGGGAGCTTCCCGGTATTTTCTTTCTCCCTCTAAAACTGTAATTCGTTCATTCGTTCATTCTTCCTTTTGTGTTGTCTTAGCTTTGGCTGCCATTGGGGAGAAGGAGTGGTTCTTCTACGTCCCCCGCGATCGCAAGTACCGCAACGGCGATCGCCCCAACCGCGTTACGACCTCCGGGTATTGGAAGGCCACGGGTGCCGACCGCATGATCCGTACCGAGGACTTCCGCTCCATCGGTCTCAAGAAAACCCTAGTTTTCTACTCCGGGAAGGCTCCCAAGGGTATTCGTACTAGCTGGATTATGAACGAGTATCGTCTTCCCCATCATGAAACCGAACGATATCAAAAGGTTTTTATTTAATTTCTTCTCTAAATTTGGAGATGTGGTTCTTCGCTTATATTTTTTTTTTATGGGTTTCGAATTGTTGGGGGACATTGAAAGGGTTGATTAGTTTGAGTTTAATTTAATGATTAATTTCCAGGAGGGAATTTATGAATCTCTCTTGTGTATGTTTTTGTTTCGTACGCTCATATAACTGATCGGTCTCTGACAGTACTTTTTGGGGTTTTTGTTTTAATGTTTTGTCACGAACTACGTGATCTTGCTTTAAATTCCCCCCAAAGTTGAAGAGGGAGAGAGAGAAAAAAAAGTGATTGAGATTATGAAATCTGATTTTGGTAGTTGGGGAATATGTTTAGTCACAATGAATAATTTTTCTCGATTTCTGATGAAATTTGACTTGCAGGCAGAGATTTCGCTATGTCGGGTTTACAAGAGAGCTGGAGTTGAAGATCATCCATCGCTCCCTCGTTCTCTCCCGTCGAGAGCGTCGTCCTCTAGAATGACGACGAAGAATAATATTTCTGGTGGTGCGATTAATGTCCAAACTTCATCATCATCTACAGACAAATTTCAAACGAACTTTGAGTCCCAATACGGCCACCACCCCCTTCAAATGAGCAGCACCGTCGAAACCGCCGCTGCGGATGCTTCCGCCACGAGCTCTTGTGAAGAAGTCACCACCGTCCTTGGCCTGTCCAAGCACAACCCTTTCCCCACAACTCCATTGATCAACATGGCAACCACTTCTCTTGGACTTCCATCTTCTTCTACTACTCCCAATTCCATGGAAGAAGACGACCACCAATCCATTATTCTCCATAAACAACAACCTTCCTCTTCGCTAGTTTTACCCTCTTATGCCTCCTTCTTCTCTCCTTCTCCCGCTTCGAATTCTCTCGACGACCTCCAAAAACTCATCCACTTTCAACAACCTCCACCGCCATCGGCTTCCGTTGCCATTGTAAACCCTCCACCGCCGCAATATTTCCAACCGCTGCCACCACCACCGCAGCAATTGAGCCTCAACTCGCTACCGGTTGTATTCTCCGACCGACTATGGGAGTGGAATCCAATCCCCGACGCCAACTCCTTCAAGTAAAAGAAACTGCACTTTTAGCCATCCTAACCAATTGAACTATATTCAGGTTGGCAATATTTATACATTAGTTCATATGATTGAAGAAATAACGTGCCTTGTTGCTAGGTCAAGCGACTTCAATTCTCATCTTTCGTTTTTGTTAGCTGATGATCATGAACATATATATATATATATGACTAATCTGAAAAAGTATATATATATATATCTATATAATTTAAGTTAGTTTAGTTTGTTCCCTTTCTTCTTGATTACAAATATAAATATATGTAGTAGGGTTTCATGAGATTTTAAAATAATTACTTAATTAGGTTTTTAATATTGTAAGGAGATCCAAAGAGGATCTTGTTGTAGAAAAATGTTCAGATCTCTTAATATCCATAATAATAGAATGTCTTCTTCTTCCATCTTCTTCACAAGTTTTCTTCATGGTCCATATTTCAGTCAGAGTTCATTTTTTATAAATATATCAGATTTTTATTAGTTTCTTAGTAATTTTATAATCTCTACGAATTTTACTGCTAAATTCAAAAATTTAAAGTTTCATGTGTGTTACAGAATATATTTAATTTTTAACTTATATTTTTAATCTCTCTCCTTTTATCTTTGGATTCTTCCAGTGATCGATTACTCTATATTTAATGAATTCAAAAGTTTAAACTAATGAGTTTCAAATATATTTATATTCTTAACACTACTCTCCTCTCTCTTGATTCTCTCTCTAACAAGTTACAATATATTGATATTCTTAGTTAACACCACTCTTCCCTTGATTCCTTTAGATTCTCTCTCCCTCGTTTAGTTTAAATTAATTTATCTGGAGCATGTGCACTATCCCCATATCCGTACATACACAAGGGGTCATTGTTTGTTGGAGTTGCGTTTTTTGTGACTTGAACCCAAGACCTTAAGGATATTCCTTGAAGTCCCAATCCACGGAAGCTATCTCTTAGGGACTCCTTTAGTTTAAATTAACGAGTTGCGATAGATCTCTTTAGTCTCTCCACCTCTTTCCTTAGAGTTTAAACTAATGGGTTACGGTATATTTCCGAAATCCTCTATATCTCTCCCGGATATTGAATAGGGTGGGTAGGGATTAAGAATAGAGGGAGAGAATAAGTAAAGGGCATTGATAATTAAATTGGCGTAGAAGAGAGGATTTTCATCGGGATTTGAGCCATGTATATCGAGAGAGAATAGAGAGGGGGAGTCGAATATTATAGATATAGAATAGGAATTTAAGCCGGGTAATTGGTGGAGAAGAAATGAGTTCAAACTTCCATGACAGCCACCTACATTAGTAATTAATTCTTATAAACCAAATGTTGTAGAATCAGACGGTTGCTCCGTAATATTGTTGAGCTGCACGTAAGTTGGTCCGGAAAAAGAAAAGAAAGGGAATTTAAGGAGGGTTATGTAGGATCGGTGTGTGAGTTGGGGGATAACGTAGGGTGGTATATTTATTACTAAATTTAGCCAACAGCAATATAGCATGCAGTTGTAGTATCAAAATTCTCTCTCTGTGCCTACTTACTGAAGCAAGAAACTAGAAGAAAGTTGGCAGAATAATCAATTTGAGATCAGAGCTAAACAATTTAGAGTTAAGAATAATACATATTGTTATTATTATTACATGTAAATGTGGAGTAGAGAGAGAGAGGACCATGTGATATAATGGTGGGCAGTTGTTTTAGTTTTAGGCAACCTTCTTGTTTCTTTTTTGAGTAGTTTTATAAACGACTTCCATTGCAGTTGCAGCCCTACGTCGACAGAGCCTATATATTATGTATGTGCTTTTGCCATTCTATAAACCCACACCCAAAGATGGCTCATTAATTTTCTTCATAATGAATGAGAGAGAGAGAGTCATTACTTCACTGCTAACTTTTTTACATAGGGAGAGATCATTAATTTAGAGGTATGTGATGTCAACGATTTTTCCCGCGGAAAAGATAAGGGATCTGATTAGAGTTTATAATATAAGTGGACAACTATTCTCGTTGGGTTTGAGATAAAATCTCATGAATATTGATATGGTATGTCATAGTCCAAAATGCTCAAACGAGCGTCTCGTTCGAAAATGGATATGGCCAAGATCGATGAGCCTAAAAGCCACAATCTTGGCGGAGCATTGTTAAGGATCTCACATTGAAAAAAAAAAAAGAGATCTAACCAGAGTTTATAGTATAAGTGAGCTACTCCTCTCATTATCAATTGGTTTTGAGATAGAACCCTATAAATATTGATATGTATATATCACATAAAATGGAGGTTATATATATAAAAGCACTCTAATTAAGTGAAATGGTAGAGATGTTATAATTTACAAAAAGGAGAAGTAAATAAAGACTAAAAGCTATGAGAGAGATGTCAAAACGAGCATAGCTCAATGGTAATTGACATGTACCTCCAACCATGAGGTTGTGCCTCCCCAACATGTTGTACTAAAAAAAAGAGCTAGGAGAGAGATGTTTTTTTTTTAATATAAAAACGCTCCAATTCAGAGAGATTGTAGGTACACCATAATTACAAAAGAGGAGGGACATGTTGAAAATGAGATATTTTTGAAGTTCTTATAAGTACCCTAAGTGCTTACTAGCTATATATAGTAATTGTTGATCACTATGAAAGCTTTGAGGGATATTGGAAAAGAGATGTTTTTTGTTTTAAAATAATAATAATAATAAGTGTTTTCAAATTTTTAATGGCGGTTGGCAACAAGAATAAGTGTCGAAGAATTAGTACAGAAATATTTTTCTTCGTATAATATATACTCTCCCTAAAGATATGCGTTATTTATATATCCAGAAATACTATTATGAATATTATTAGAGTATTTTGTACGTATTTCGTATATATGATCTCTCTTCTTGAAACATATTATTGTGTTATTTGTATCTTTGTTTGGTACAAATAACAATTTCCTCTCTAATGCATTATTCATAGGTTTTTCTATCTAGAAAACATAATAAAATATAGAGTAAAAAAGTTAATTAAAGATGGATATATCAATTACTACTAATTTTATAGGAAAAAGATATATATATAGCAATCAATTTGAAAATTATAGTCTTAGAGAGGGTTTAACTAGAGTTAGAAAAATTGATCACAATTAGAAGAAGTAAAAGTCTAATTACAATATTAGGAAACTTAATTAGACTTTTATTCAACTAGGACTCTCAAAGGAAATTCACATCTAGCAAAACCTAGGGCTTGAATCTATAAAGTCTTGAGCACAAAATTCTTTGGCAGTAAAAATTTATAACAGTTGTATTTTACTTTACTTAATTATACATGCTAGAAAGCCTATTTTATAATTGCTATGTTAATCTACAAATATATATATATATATATCCCGTATACCCTCAACACTACACAACTCTTACTTACCCTTTAACTAAGATTAGAATTTAGAAATAAATCTAGTTTTCAATTATTCATAATACCCATTGAATTCTAATTCTACTAGCAATAATATTTATAAATATAAATAATCAAATATAAATTAAAAATCAGCATCCAATTTTGAAATGATATTGCTTAGTCAAGTAAAGATTTGCTAGCTACTAGTGCATTACCAAACTTTTCCATATATTATATTTGTTCTCTAGTGTTGAATTTGCATGGAACAGTGGTTATTGGAATTTTAGAAATCACCTGAAAAAAAATATATATATATTCTAGTTTAGTATGAGTTCCTCAACTTTTAAATTTATTGTAAATTTTGCTTAAAAAATTTATATATTTGTAAAATAAATATTGTCAAATAAAGCTTTCCTTATATGCTTTTTTAGCCTAGAAATTTTAAAAAAACAACTATTTTAATCTTTTCTATTATGTTGTGACAAAATATGAAGTTGTGAGATTCGAATCAAGAAGAAGGAGATACATTTTACCGTTGGTTATTTTGGTCATATATCACTATATGCTATGATATATCCACCTATCCAAATATTCGTCTCATCTGACCTATGATACCTAAATTCGTGTGCAACAACAAATATTCAAAGTCACGTTATTTATCTATTTAAATTAATTGATGGTAAACCTAGCGAAGAAATTAAAAATTCATACATTAAAATGGACATTTTGGTGGCAGAGTACCAAAATTTAAAATGACTTTTTATGTTTTAAAAAGAGGCTTTAAATTAATTAATAATTTAGGGATTCGGTGGTTTTCTAACTTCTAACGGTATTTTTTTTAATACAACATGTGGAGGTGGGAATTCGAGTTCACGACCTTTTGAAATACCCTAACCAATTGAGTTCTGCTTAGGTTGACTAATGATAATTGATTTGTATGGTCCAAAAGCACTTCTTTGATTATTTTCTAAGAGGATTATTACTCTTTTTTTTTTAATTTCCCTTTAGCCAAAACCAATTTCAGAAAAATGTGTATTCATRTGGGAAAATTATATTATTAACAAAACAACATAATATCATAGTTTATCTTTTAAAATTTCAAATTATTATTTTTTCTGTGCCACATGCCTATACTTATGAAGCACATAGACTTAATTCATGTCAGATTTTTTAACGAAGAATTGTGTGCCTATTATAAACTAAATACAATTATAGCATTTATTAGAATCTTTAATTATATTATGTGGTGTTCTTAGAAAGTATATAGATATTTTAAAAATATTTTATAAAATTTACAAAAAAAAGAATGTCATGATAAAATTTTCATTGTACAATGGCATTTATTTTGAATTATACTTTAGTTTCTATCATTAATATCAATTGACGAAACAACTAATTCGTTTAGCCTATTAATTATCCTAATTTAATTTTATGAGTAGGAAGGATAATTAAACAACCACCTTCATTAATTCTCTAATTCCCATTGACCAACACAGTTACTCTTTAACCTCTAATTTCATTTTGAACCCTTGTCCCAATTAATTATTTTATTTTTAAAGACAACACATCATTCATGAGAAACCTATAATAAAAAGAGGCTAAATGAGAGTGATTCGGAGAGATGACAGAAATATCATAGTTAAAAAAAAAAAAAAAAAGATGACCTAGAGTAAGTAGCAGTTTTGATATCATCCCAAAGGAGAGCGGGAGGTATGAAAGCTTCTGAAAATATACAGTTGTTCCTCTACCACCATATAAACTAAATGATAGAACTGAAACCATTTCACCAAAGAACATTTTTGATGTTGGAGAGATACTTATATACTTTGAAATAAATGCTTCAAYCTTGACAGGGAGCGTAATGGAGACGTTGAAAATGCAAAACAAACACCTCCAAAGGGATGTAAGGACAATGAGAAAATAAATGGTCCAAAGATTTGTTATTCTAATTGCAAATGATACAATGTTTAGACTCGAATCGTTGCAAACACGTAGACGAGAACTTGGTATCTCTTTCAAAAACTTCCTTGGTGCAGAGGAAAAATTTTAATTTTTGGATATAGGTTTTTGTGTGATGTATTGGCTCACTAGGTAAAGGTATAACTTTTAAATATCAATACGAGTATAGATCAACCGTTTAAAAGTATATGTTTTTTTTATTAAGAAATAGAAAATTTAAATCCTCACTCTACTTTAAACGAGGGAATAAATAAATAAATAAATAACTCACGAGACCATGTTTTTCGAAGCCTCCTTTATTGTGGATATATATATACAAGGAACTGTATTGAAAAAGTTCTTTCAGGTCCATGGCCCTATAAAAGATCCAGGCCCACAAACTCTCTTTTTAATTTTTCTTCAGAATATTGGTATTTTTTTTAATTTGTAATTTAATATTGGTAGATTTTTGGATAACAAATACTTTTTTTGTTTAATCTTTTCAAACGAGTGTATATATAATTTATACAACTTAGAATAATACTATGACCTTTGCAAAAACCTCTTTAACAGTAAATTTTACCTAATCAATCTAAATATAATTCAATTAATATGTGTCAAAACCAAGATAATTAACATATAATTCTAACTAAGAGGTTGTGAGTTCGATTTCCCACTCCCATATGTTGTACTAAAAAAAACTCAATTAGTGTGGATCGATTGAATGATTGAAAGTTCGAATTCTCATCTCCACGTATTATTGAACTAAAAAAACTTTCGCTTAATCATGAACACAAATAACTAATTAACACTCATTTTAAATAAACTTTATCTAACACACGCGCATATATATATATATATTGTTGAAATAGTCCTTTATAAATTAAGCTCAATAAAATGCTCATTGAAAAAGTGAAAGAATTATTTATACATAATTTATGTAAAGATTTATTTCAAATAATTATATAATAAAGAATTTAAATAACGTTTACTAACAAAATGAAAAACTGGCGCCTGTAGCTCAGTGGATAGAGCGTCTGTTTCCTAAGCAGAAAGTCGTAGGTTCGACCCCTATCTGGCGCGAAGTTTTTATTTTTCATTTTAAATTCTGTAAATTAACTTTTTTTTTTTTTTTAAATTTTAGAGAAGTCTGTTCAAAGTTGAAATCCGAGGAAAGAGACCTCTGATCTTCTTCGGATTCTGAAGTCCAAACAGAATCTCTCTCCTATAACGGAGAAAACAAACATTTCTCGCCATCAAATTCTACAAATCCTGAAATGGAAATTTCTCAATGGATAAACAATCACCATCGTTCCGTTTGCTCCACTTCTCTCAACTCTTCATCCGCCCTCCGCTCCAAATTTCGAGAATCGAGAATCGTAGAACACGATGGCGAAAGAGCCCGTTTGCGTGACCGGAGCCAACGGATTCATCGGATCGTGGGTGGTCCGTACGCTTCTGGAGGCCGGCTACACCGCGATTCACGCCTCCATCTTCCCCGGCTCGGATCCATCCCACTTGATTGATCTCCAGGCCGCGGCGAGCTCTAATTCGAAGGTTAGGGTTTTCGAAGCGGACGTGATGGACGGGGAGGCCGTGGCTAGGGCTGTGGAAGGGTGTAGGGGCGTGTTCCACATCGCGTCGACGTGCACGCTGGAGGATCCGAAGGATCCGCAGAGAGAGCTGGTGGAGCCGGCGGTGAATGGAACTTTGAATGTTCTTGATGCGGCGAAGAAATTGGGAGTGAGGCGCGTTGTTCTTACATCTTCGATTTCGGCTCTGGTTCCGAATTCGGTGTGGCCCAAGGACAAGGCCATCGATGAATCTTCGTGGACCGACTTGGCATACTGCAAATCCCGCCAGGTTCCTTTCTTTTCCCTTTTCTCATGTTTCGTGATTTTCAAATGCCTTGCTGCTCAAGCTTTGTGGGCAATTGCCCTCTCTGTTTGTCTTCGATTAACGAAATTGTCAGTGTATATATATATATATATATATATGAGAATTTAAAGTTTTGTTTCTAATTTGCACATTGTTATTTACTCAAAATAAAAAAATAAAAAAAAAATTGGTTGAATGTAACTTAGGGACCATTGAATAGAAGGAATTTGGTTCGCTACTTGATGGTATTTGGCAAATTGTAGTAATGAAATCAATTCAATCATAAAAACTAAAATTAACCGTACTTAAGTTGGGTGACTTCTTAGGAGAGTTTAGTGTTATAGGAATAATCTTCACTCTTGAGAGTAGTTCAAGTCATGTTGGTATCTCGGTAATCTCATTCATCTCCTTTATGGTCTCTTGTTTCATGGGTCTAGTCCATTTTCAATAATTACTTTACACCTTTTGCTATTTCTCTCTAATTGTTTTACAATTTGATTCTTTATTTATTTATATTACCAATAATATTTCTTTTAATAAAAAGATTATACCAACTTTTCTTATATAATGTGATTTTATTTATAATACTACATATTTCTACTTAATTTATGAATTATTTAATATTTAACTTTACTTTGTCATGGCATTGTTAAAATAAAATTTGTTATTGTTAAATATTAGAACAACAAAATTTAATAATATTTTATGTTAATGAGGGTTGTTTTAGTAAAAAATATATTAATTATTTTTAATTGATGCAGTTTTAATTTAATTATTTATTGTTTGTTAATATGAAATGAATTCTTATAATAAAAAATAGTTACTTTCAATAAAATAATAAATTAAGATTTAGTATTATTTTAATTAGAAATAATATTACCCCAATTTTTAGGTAATATGTTTGTAATGAGCTATAAATAAGAAAGGATATACTAGTACTATATGATTCCTATTCTGATTCCAAGATGCTCAATCGAAGTTATTGAGTTAATGCTTGATCATGGAGCATCCATATACATTGTACGCGACAACCTTATAACACCCAGTTGAATATAGCAATTATCTTTCTCAATTTTATAACAAAGTCATTTACGGAGTGAGTCCTCCCTTCTAATTATCAACAAGTTCATACTTATGGAAATCCCAAGGGATACTCTACTAGTAATGTAATCCCAACATATATACTTGAAAAATGCTTAATTGATAAAATACCATCGAAAAATATAAGAAAAAGATAAACAACATCACTAGTTTTCTAATTCTAATTCCAAAAAATTTCAAGCGAAGAAATGACATTTTGGTTAACCAAGAACGGACCCTTTACTGTCGATTTTTTCCACTTTCAATTAAAGCAAAGTAATGCATTAATTCTCGTGAGTGTTGGTGATAAAGTTTCACGTGTTTTGTTAAGATGGAAGTATCCTAATCTTAGGAGCAAGAAAGTTGAAACTTTTATATAGAAAGGTTGGCAATGGCCAGCCCAGATGGACATTTACCTAACAAATTAATGTTAGAGGTGAACTATTTCTTTTTTTTTCGTTTTCCTTTCCAAAATCAAGTTTCCTTCCTCTTTCAATTAAAAAAAAATGAGGAACAAGAAACAGTTACCAATGCAATTAAAATATTGGCAGTACCGCACCTGATCCATGTTCATATTTCTTTAGTTTTTAACATTACACTGTGTGGTTGTTGGAATGACTTTTGCAGAAATGGTATCCAGTGTCCAAAACATTGGCAGAAAAAGCAGCATGGGAGTTTGTAGAGAAGCATGGAATAGATGTAGTTTCAATTCTGCCAGCCACATGTCTTGGTCCTCTTCTGCAGCCTAATCTCAATGCAAGCTGTGCAGTATTGCAGCAGCTGCTCCAAGGATCAAAGGATAGCCAGGAATATCACTGGTTGGGCGCTGTCCATGTCAAAGACATTGCAAAAGCACAAGTTTTACTGTTTGAGACCCCCTCTGCTTCTGGTAGATATCTTTGCACCAATGGCATCTATCAATTTGCTGATTTTGCACACAAAGTCTCCAAAATCTACCCTCAATTCCCAGTTCACAGGTCACACGACTTGCTCAAATATTTGAAATTTGATGTGTTTGGTGTACCCTTTTTGCTGTTGTTTTGTTTTCTGGTTAGTGATTTGAATTCTGTGCAGGTTCGTGGGGGAAACACAGCCGGGCTTGGTTGCCTGCAGAGATGCAGCCAAGAGGTTGATTGAACTGGGACTTGTTTTCACTCCTCTTGAAGTTGCCATTAGAGATACGGTGGAGAGCCTGAGAAGCAAAGGCTTTCTGCAGTAGGGAAAATTACAGAATTGTAGGATGTTTCTTTTCAAATATGATCTGAATAAGTTGAGCTAGAGGCAAGATAAGAGTTTCTTTTAAAAAAATAATGAGGACTGTGAATTTTTCGATAGTATAGGGATAGGTACTTGCCCACTATTCAGAACTTAAATATTTTCGATCATTTAGTGTGGTTTAGGTTTGAGTAAAAATACTAAAGAGATGAGAGGGTTCAAGCATCTCAAATTACTTGATCGTGTTGTAGTTCTTTTATCTTTTATATTTCTATATAGATCCTATAGGAGTGTTGAGGGCTTCAAATATTCGACCAGTACCACAAAGTTTGAGTTATTATTCTTGGCTAATGAACTAATGGTAATGTGAGAAATGATTGGAGTGGGCAACTGTGTTTAGTGTGGTCTAAGTACCTCAATTCAATTACTTGGTCGTCTTATATTTTTTACATTTCTATATAGGCTCAATTACAAAAAAAATATCTTGAACTTTGCCCACTTTGCCCTCTCTTTTAAAAAATAGGTATCGTTTCAAAAGTTTCAATATTGATCTTGACCTTTCATAAATATCTTTTTTTTTTTTTTTGAAATACTCTTTGAATAAACATACATAGTAATTAATGGAAGTTTGTTTGGAACAATTAGATGTTACCACAATAAATTTGACCTTAACATGGTCAGTTGTGGTCTGTCACTATTTTTACCCATACATTTTTTTATCGTCATCGAAATTCAAGTTGGCGTAGTAGAATCTCGAAAACAATGGTGTTTTTGTTTGAATCTTCACTAATTTTAAACAAAATATATAATTTTTTTCCACGATTCTTCAACTAAAACCTATTATATTACTTTTTAAAGTTTATAGTGAATATGGTAACACTCATTAAAGATGAAATTGAAAAAAAAATTGATATACCTTATCAAATTACAACTGAAACTTTGTAATTTGGCTAATACATATGCCAAATTGAAACTAAATTGCAATTATAAAGATTATATCAAACATTTTAATAGATACTAAATTGAAATTAAACTTAAATTAGAGGGCCAGTTCATTATTTAACCTAAAAACTATCCAAGCTAAGTTTACAATTTAACTTTGATATTTAGTTTTCTTTTTTTCTTTTTCTTCTTAAAAAAATTAATATAGTGAAAATTTCAAAAGGCCAAGAGGGTGCCACGTGATCTTCAACCTTTTATGGTAAACAATACTTTTTATTTTATCATTATTTTTCTTTTTGAAAGGACTTTTGATTTTGTTTATCTTTTGGATTTTTCTAACAAATATGGAAAATATGTAGAAAGGTCGAGACGTGTAGGTAAGATTGTTTAAGATTTTATAGTAAACAATCTTTTCACACGTCTTTAACATTCTACTTTCAAATTATTTGATACAGATTCTTTTAATAATATATATATATATATATATATATATATGAGATAGAAATTTGAACTGTTTTAACCGAAAAAAATTAAATAAATAAAAATTAAACGAACTTAACATTTTTTAAAATTGTTTTAACTTTTAGATTAAAATATCATTCTTGAAACTTCAAAGGATTTTAACAAAATTTAAGTTTAAATCTCATAAATCAAAAGGGTAACTTATCCTATAAAGATTTAAATTATTATGAGATTTTCAACTATAGACCTCATTTTGAATCAACTTGCGTAATAAAAAAGCAATAATAAATATGTATTTTTCGACAGACTAATAAATATTGTATGGACAAGATTTGAATCGGGAGGCTGGACGCATGTTTACTCAAATCACCACAAAAATAAATATGTAAAATACAAGGCCATTGCATTTCTATGGGTTTCTCTCTTTCCTTGTCTTTCATTTTCATCATAAATTCTAATATTCTTCGACCTTCGACCGCTAATCTCGCTATCGTTATTGATAGTAGTGTTTATGGGTCGGATTGGATTGAATTAGCTTAAAAGAATTTAGATTTCATTTAGTTATTTTGATCGAAAATTTAATGAATAACTTTAGTTAGACGACCAACTCTAACATATTTGAATAATGTGAGTTATTTTGATTATTTGGGTCAATTTCTCACCATTTTGTTAGAAAACTAATATTTATTATTCTAGTTTCAAAAGTTGAACTAAGATGAATAACTTAATATTAATTTATATGTAATGGAAAAAAAAAGTTTAAATACTTAAAAAAATATTATTCTAAAAAGTTGTTGGAGGAGAAAAAAGATTCTAGAAATAATTATCCAATGGAATAGAATTACACGATAAATATATACCTATGTAATTTTCTGTGGCTATGTAATTTTATTGTAAATAAAATGGATATTTTTTAAATAAAATAATAGTTTATCAACTGAACCAAACTCAAACCAATTTGAGCAAGTTATAAAGTGAAACTAATTTTAACATAACATATTCAATTTATTTTGATCCAACTTGAACAAACTTATAATACAAATTGAATTCTAAGGTTGTAAATGAAAGTTTCAATTTTATGGAAATGTTCATCTAAATATGGATAAAATATTGATATTGATGAATATTTTTATAAAAAAGGAAAAGAATTTAAAAGAAAAAATTTTCACATTAAATATTTAAATTACCTAATTAATATTTTACAATTTGTAAATAAGTTAAAATTACTAATATTTTGTCCATATTATTGATTTTTTTCAATATGTTGTCTATTTTCTGCGATACTACGACCATATTGTTTCACTCTTCATACTTTGCTCCATCCATACCATTTAACTTGAATTGATGATCACAACCTCATAATTAAAAGTATATGTCAATTATTGTACCACTGAACTATATGCTCGTACTTTGACTAATTTTTGAAGACTATTTAATAATTAAAGTCTCCATTTATTGATTTTTCCATCTATTCCAAGACATATTAAACACAAAATTCAAAATTAAAAACTTACCTCCTCAAAAATTCAACATTTTTTAAATTTTAGTGAGTTACACCAAAAATAAAATAAAATTTAAACATTATCTAAGAAGTTGGTGGCCTGAAATGGGTTTTGTTTCAGTTTCACACATGTCCCTTTTTTTCTTTTGTGGCTCTTAACTTTTGTTTCAACCAAGTTATCCTCTCCATTCCAACGATTTATTTCTTGTTTTTAAATTTATCGAATCCGAATATATGTTTGATAAATTTGTATGTGAAAATTATTTTTGAATTCTATGATCTCAAAAGTGAAAATTTTGAGAACAACTATGTTATGTTTTCTGTGTTTTTTTTGTTTGAAATTTGAAACTTTTTAAGATACGGAGAGTTAGATTAACAACGATATAAGTATATTATGAAAATTTCGATAAGTATATTATATTTTATGTTATAAACTCCTTTTATTTTATTTTTTAATTAAAACAAATAATTAAATACAATATAATATAAATTATATGATATTATTAAATAAAATTATGCAAATTAATTTTATAACAAAAATTATGAACCGAGGCTTACTTACAAGGTATTAGAATGAGAAAGAATTAGAATAGGAATGTTATTTGTTTGATGTTGTTTACTTGAAATTTTATGGGATCAGAATTTGAAACTTATTGACGTTGTTGTTTATAAAATTATTTAAGATCGGAATAGGAATCAAATATATAACAATTATTTCTATACCATTTTTTTTTATTTCTAACTAATTACAAATATATTAACTAAATATTGTGCTTGTATTATTTTTAATTAAAATAATAATAAATTTTTTTATTATAACAATTTATTTAATATTAATGAATAATAAATTATTAAAATAAACTTACATCCATTAAAAATGATTATATAATTTTATTGTTTTAATATTTAATAATGATAAATTCTATTTTAACAATTACATTAATATTATTATTAATGGGTAATAACAAAGTGAAATTAAATAATTGTTAACTTAAAAAAAATTTGTAATATTTCATTACCTCCAACCGAGATAAGAATTTCTTTAAATTTATAAAAGCTTTTTTTTTTATATTTCTTATTTTTTCGCCGTAAAATCCTTCATGTTAATGGAATGGGTCCCACCAACATGGCTTCATCTTCTTCTTTGTGGTTTATGGCCTCATTTATTTGGTCTCTATAAAGCTCTTGTGGTTTGGCCTACCAAAGGCTAAGGCTACCAAAAGCTCTCCTCTTCATTATTCCTCTGGCTTCCATGGACGACGATCACTCTGCTCACCGGCCGCTTCTTCCGGCGGCCGACGATCACTCTCCGGCGACCGGAAATGCGTCGACGATCATCGTATCTGGTGCGAAATGGGTTCTGAAATTGACGATGTGGGTGATCTTCATCGGGTGGATTATGGTGATTTTTCTGTACCCAGCTTCCTTCACTGTGGAAATGTTTAACAAATGGTTCAATGCCACCGAAGTAACCCTTTTTGGGGTCACTGGTAACTTTTCGTTTCAATATAGTTAACGAAATTATAAATTTTTTTTAAGGAAAAAACTTTCCAAGAGTTCCTTCGGAATTTATGTGTGGTCCAACAACTTTTTTAATTTTGTATAATTATTGCGTGTTTTACTTATCTATATACTATTGGACTATGCAGAGAAATTTAAGAAGGAAGTTTTGTTTTTTTATTTAGATTCTATTTTCTCTCATTTTTAGATGAGTTCGTAACTATTTAGTCGTAGACTTTACTTATTGATGATTTAGTTTTTAAATGAGTAACCACTTAATTCTTATAATATAATAAATTTGTAACAACTTTGATCAATTTTTTTAATAAGGACTAAATTGGTACAGATATTTTAATTAATGTAAATTAAAGACTAAATCATTATCCATTAAAGTTTAGAGATTAAATTGTTATTTTGAAAGTATACACGGACAAGAGTGTTTCTCAATTTCTAAGTTTATTCCAAAATGGAATTTAAAACTTCTATATAGTTGTTCCACCCTTTCTTCTTCGCTTCATCTACATACTCTGATACCGCTAATCAAATTGGTCGTAGGCGGTGTCTTCCTAACTTTCAGCGCTCCCATTCTCGTGATTGCGGTCCTCTCGGCAGTGTACCTGGTTGTTTCTGGGGACGACGAGCCTTACCGGTACGTAAAATTTTGAAATAAAGAGTTTTAGAAAGCTTTGTACTTGTTGTGTGTTTAGGAATTTGAATGGAATGAATGACAGGAATAAGAAGAAGAAGAGTGGGAAAGAGAAGGCGAAATGGCGGCTGTGGACGCTGCCGGTGGTGGTGGGGGGGCCGTTGGAAGTAGTTACGGCGGCGGAGTTAGTTGGGATTGTGGTGGTTGTGGCGTATGTTGTTTGGGCTGTCTATAACTACACCTTGCGGATGTTGGCCGACAGTTTCCTTCAGTATTTAACTCCCAAACAGAAGAGGTATGCAATTGCCAACAATTTTTGCCTTTTAAATTAGTTGAAAGAATTATTGTCTAGGAAAATGTCTTCTTGGTAATGAAACTGATGGGTGGTGTTTTTTTTTTTTAAATGTATAGGAAGAAAAAATAATTTGTTATTATTAGTGAAAAATTGACCGTTCATTGTTTTCAAAAATAAAATAAAATCTATATTTTAACATTTTCATCTCTTAGTTGTTAAAGATTTAATAGGGGTGAACACAAGATTGTTCATCACCGGTAGGAAGCCAACTATCTTTCAAAAAATAACCTCTCTTCGGTCTCTCTCAACTTTTGGATGAAAGATTTAGGACCAACAGACGTGGGTGAGAGGATTTGAACTTATGATATTTGTTTAATATGTRTCAATTACCGCTGAATTAACCTCAAAATTAATGGGGTCACAAGTAATATATGAATCATATATACCTTATCAGGTCTATCACTAATAAATATTTTCGATTCAGGTTAGGTTTCTTATTAATTTATCAACTGAGTACTTAAAAGATCAATGATGTCATTTTGAATATATCACTAATATAATTAATATATATTCAATATCTAATAAATCACTAATGTACTTGATATTAGTATATTATTAACATTAATGCGGGAGTTTCTCTCGCTTACAACTAACTATTAATTAGCCGTTTCTCAAAAAAAAAAAAATCTAAACTACTTGTGTGGCTGATATTCAACGTGGGAGAGTCGTTAATATTAACATAGTGATATTTCAGGGACCATTGAAATTATTATTTCTTAAAAATGAAAATGTGAGACATGCATCAATCAATCATTCATGAGATGAAACTGATTTTCTCTTGGACTAAATTACAAATAAATATTTGGTTTCAATATTTTTTAAAGTGAGTTATTTATAAAGATTAGATTCATTAAAAATATTGTGACATTAATTAATTAATTTATTGTTGTTGGCAGTGCGGAGATGTTGGAAATCATGGGACTGAGGCTTGGGTCAATTGGATTATTCTGTTTGGGGTTTTTGTTTGTCCCAATATCGCGGGGTTCTGTCCTTCTACGCCTCATAGACATTCCCTTCGAGCACGCCACCAGATACCATGTCTGGTTGGGCCACCTCACAATGCTCATTTTCACCCTCCATGGCTTGGCCTATGTCGTTGGATGGTACATGCAAGGCCGATGTATCCAACAGGTCATCTAGAGTATCTTATCTACGAAACTATACTTAATTTACTTACAAACTATACTTGAACCCGATTTTTACCCGCCCAAAAAAGAACTCATTTTATATGAACTTATATTAGCTTCCTCGCATTGGTTGATATAATTTGTGAAGAATTTCACATTGAAAAGAAAATAGACTTTATAAGGTATTAGAGTAAAAAACGCTCAAACGAGCATCCGTTCCAAAAATAGATCTGACCAAGATCGATGAGTTAGAAGAGCCACAATCTTGAGATTCCTCGACTTTCAAACGTTTTATACAAAAAAAGTTTAGTTCCTAGAACCCAAAAATGTGGCATAGGATGGAAAGTTTGATATTAAAATGAAAATGAAAAGTAAAATAGTTATGAACTTTGAAAAAGAGTGATTTCATGGGCTTAGTGAATAACAGAGTGGATAATGATATACTTGTTCGAAGTTATTATCTCAAATGTTCAATGGTTCCATAAAATTTTGGATCAAACTCAGAAGTTTATCAAACATATGTATTTCAAATGTTTGATGAAGAAAAGAAAGATTTAATTAAGCTTTAGAACCTGAAATGGTCGTCAAAATTGTTCTTGCGCCTTCTTCCATGGATGACACTGACAGAGCTTGCTCTGCAACGTTCTTGTTTTGCGATGCAGTTGCTGGAGTGGAAAGACATCGGAATCGCGAATCTTCCCGGAGTTATAAGCCTTCTGGCCGGGATCTTGATGTGGATCACCTCTCTCCCCAAAGTCAGAACCAAGAACTTCGAATTGTTCTTCTACACTCACCAATTATACATCGTTTTCGTCGTCTTCTTCGCGCTCCACGTCGGCGATTTCGTCTTCAGCATCGCCGCCGGTGGAATCTTCCTTTTCGTCCTCGATCGCTTCCTCAGATTCCTCCAATCCAGAAGAACCGTCGACGTAATCTCCGCCAAGGCCCTCCCCTGCGGCACCGTGGAATTGATCCTCTCGAAACCTAAAAGTTCGATCCATCACCCATTTCAATTTCTTCGATCAATTAATTTCGGTGTTGTGTTGCTCCGTGCCCTAATTTCCGCGATCTGTTCGAATTGTTAGGTCTCCGATACAACGCGCTGAGTTTCATCTTCCTGCAAGTTCGAGAGCTGTCGTGGCTGGAGTGGCATCCGTTCAGCGTTTCGTCGAGTCCATTGGAAGGAGAAGATCGGTTGGCGATTCTGGTAAAAGTTCTTGGGAAATGGACGGAGGGGCTTCGGGGAAAGATCTTGAATGATAAAATTACAGAGCTCTCTTCTGATAAACATCGGTCTCGAATGACGGTTGCTGTGGAGGGGCCTTATGGCCATGAATCGCCATATCACTTGATGTTAGAATTCTCCTGATCTCTCAATACAGTATACTGTTCTTCTTCTTCATCGATTGCTGTTCATAATTTGCAGAATCAAATGGCAACTGATCTATTTGGTGTGTTTTGTAGGTACGAAAATCTGATTCTAGTAGCTGGAGGAATTGGAATTTCTCCTTTCCTAGCCATATTGAGCGACATTCTCCATCGTACCAGAGATGGGAAACCATGTTTGCCAAAGAAGATTTTGGTTGTTTGGGCAGTCAAGAAATCAACTGAGCTTTCTCTTCTCTCCACTCTCAATGTGGAATCAATTTGTCCATTTTTTGCTGATAAACTCAACATCAACATCTCCATCTATGTTACTAGAGAATCACAACCACCATTGGTACCTTCTCAAATTTAAATTTACTTCTTAAACTTTCAACAAACATTGTGTGTAATAAATATTTTTTGATCCATGAAATATGTCTTAACTAGTACCTCTTTAAAACTTTAAAGGGTGTCTAGTAAGTCCATAAACTTTTAATGTTGTGTCTAATAAATCATTGATGTATTACATATTTTCTAAAACTTACAAATCTGTTAGATACAAATTTAATTTTATGGAATTTTGTGTATCTAGAAGACTGGTTAAACATAGGATTGAAAGTTTAGCAATATATTAGGAACTTAAGGTCAAAGCTTGTTAGACATAAAATTGATATATGTTTTGTAGTTCAATAAATGTGAGAATGGGGATGGAATCTCCGACCCATAGAAAAGGAATAAGATGTCTTTAACCGTTGAATTAAGTTCAGAGACTTATTTGACATTTTCTTGCTTTTAAGTGGGTGACACTTAAATTTTTCTGATTCTTTTTTAACTCTTTGTTACCAATTTAATAGGAAGGTGAAATCCAACCCACAAAGGTGATTTCAATTTGTCCACTATCAAAGGGATCCAAAGTGAGTGTTTTGGTTGGGACTGGTGACAATGTATGGTCAGGGCTGTATGTTTTTTTCTCAACTGTGGGCCTTGTCCTCTTAGTGGGCTTACTAGATGTCTATTACATCAACCCTTTTCACATCATAAAATGGTGGTACAAAGGCCTCCTCTTCTTGCTTTGCATGCTTGCAAGTGTTGTTCTCTTTGGAGGTCTTGTGGCTGCCTTATGGACTCTTTGGGAACAACACATTTCAACCAAAAGGATAAACCACAACAATGACATTGAAGATCAAGTGGGTGGAGACATCCCCAAAGAGAGTTTTGCACAAAGGGATTTCACTTCCAAGCCCTTTGCAACTTCTACCACTATTGAGTATGGATCTAGACCAAACTTTGAAGGTATTTTTTTCTTCCCTCATTCTAATTTATATCTACCTACACCTTCGACGTATTAATTATTTAGTTGGATGGTAACAAAAAGCTAATGTGATAAGAGTAGTATATGCAACTATATGACATATCGAAGTGTGTGTCAAGTTTCACGTGATGTCATGTCAGCTTTTCGTTACTATCTTGTTGTTTAATTAACGTATTTTGTGAGATAAGTTAAAGCATAAGGACGCATTCTTCTTTCAAGACATGTAAAATCAACTTGTGTGTTCATCTGTTATATTAGATTACATCTATATTAGTTAAACACCATTTTTTTATAGGTTATGGTCGTTTCAAATATCGTTGTTTGTAATACAATATTGTGAGAAACGAAAACTTCAATCTCCGATACGGGAAACATGGATTATAAGACAATTTTATTCATTTATATGCAGAGATTCTTGGATCAGTATCTGAGGATCGGGGCAAAGTTGATGTTGGTGTATTAATTTGTGGTCCTTCTACACTTCAATCAAGTGTAGCAAAAGCAATTAGGTCACACAACATGGGCAGACGCAGCCATCATCCAATCTTCCATTTCCACAGCCACAGTTTTGACCTTTAATGTGAGCCGTATAGTAGTGCTATATTGAAGTTGGCAAAAAAAAAAAAGGGTTTGTAAATTGTATTACTGTATACATACTGTATAGTTTTAATTATAAAACTTATATTTAATGTATTTTAGGAATTATTTAAATAAATATTGATATTAATTATTATACTTCAATATTGTTGATTTTAATAACCGTGGTTGCACKCTCTCTTCGTGGCAGAGTCAAGGAGTGGCTYCCGTTTATTGTAATTCAAAAAGTATATATTAAAATACTTAAGATTTGATAGTATTTTTCTAATATATTTGATGATTATACATAATGATAAGTATATATTTGTTGAAGACATAACACACAACTAGGAAATTGTTAATTTTCACCTACTAACTTTWTATATATATATATATAACATTTTCAAAATTCTAAAACTTTAACAGAAAATTTTTAAATTGTCTTTTTAAGATTTTAATCCAATAAATTAAGAGGCGGAAATCTTTTATTCACTCTACCGCTTATTAGGTGTAATTAGAAAGAAAAATCATATTTTAAGATATGTATTAGTTTGAATGGTCTTTTCATAACAATGATGTTATTAAAGTAAAACTTAATCAAAATCATATTTTAAGATATGGGTTTGTTTATTCAAATTTGAAAAAAGAAGTTGCTGAAATGAAATGTGAGAGAACAAAGACAAGTGGGATGCTCTGTGTTGTGGAAATAAAAAATAAATAAATAAATAAAAAAGAGAGAAAATATGTTTCTTTGAGTGTCGGCAAAGGGCTTAGCCTAAACCTAACGTTAGTTGGAGTTTGTGAACAAATGCTCCCRAACACACAGAAAGAATAAATACATTTTTTTTTTCTAATAAAATTAAATGTGGAAACCAAGCAAAGCCACCAGCTGAACTCTCCCTCCACCATTTTTTCCTTCGCTTTTTAAAAATATAGTTTCTTTAAACATTATAATTTGCTAGGAAGAAAACATTCTATTTGTTYTTTTCTGTAAAATTATAAATTTAATCCTTAACTAATAATTATCTATTTTGAACTTTAAARGTATTTAATAAATCTAAACTTTCATACTTATGTATGTCGTAAAGTCGATAAATTTAATGATTAATTAKACATAATTGTCACCCTGACCCTACAYATTATTGTAAGTTCTTTTTAATACATGTGGGAGTAGGGATTCGAACTCATAACTTTTTGATTGGAGATACGATTATCGCTAGGCTATGTTCGTTTTGACGTAAGTTTTAATATTTAAATATCTATGTTAAAAATTGAAGTTAACATTTAATTTATATTTAAATAACTATTGACCCAACCACTCAACTTTGAGTGAAAGTTTCTGCTTCTCATGAAATAGAAAGAGACAGGGAAAGAACCGACAATTGTATTCGTAAATATGAAATTAGAATAAATAGAGGTATAATTTTTTTATAATATCGAAAAATATAATACAGACAAATAATCGCAGGAAATTATATAAATTAGGTTAACTAAAAATTAAATGARATGTGAATTATAAGACCAGAAAATGACAAGAAAAAAATAAGTGGTAGACAGGTTGTCGCTGTCGATTAGTGGTTCCGTCGCCATCTCTCTACCAAATCAAAACGCTACGAATTATAATTTCATAAATTYGGTGACAAATTAATTAATTCYACCTTCCACATGACGTCTAATCTTTTATATTTATTTTAAATACAAATTATTAAGTTTAGTTTTAATTTTGTCCTCTGATCTTCTTTTTTGGATACAATCGGAAGATAGAGATTTGAATATGTAATCTTCGTCGACAAATTTAATTTAGTTCTTATATAGTTTTATTAAATCATGTTTATGGTACTGTGGGGTAAAAACYRATCGTCACGTGTTGCTATAGGGAGGGTACACCAATTTGACTGATCACTCAAACAAAGAGACCGACACGTTTAATGGAAGTTATCCCCAATCTGTGACTGACTTCATATGACGTCGTGATTAAGGGGAATGAATAAATGSGGTTAAGTATCGTTTGTAATTCTCTGACTCCCATTGATTTGCGGTGTGCATCGCGGGAAGATTTGCGCCAACACTCTCCTACCTCACCTATAAGATGAAAGAGTAAGTACAACGAGAGGTAAGTGAGTTMTGACAAAAATATCTTGATACATATTTTAATCTGTATTGATTTGAGCATAGGAGTGTTCGTCATTTGTCTTAAAGGTTCTTCTAACCTACATAGAAGAAATCAAAAGTCTAATRTACCCTTAATGAACACAAAGTTCAAACAATGATATACTTGATATATACCAATGACATACCCGACTTGATTTGCCTAATTATGAGTGCTAAACCAACGATCTACCTAATATAAATGTTGATACATTATATTTTACTTCTCTTTATTTCTGTTTACTGTGTTCAGTTTTTTTGTATTGAATTGTGTTATGTTACTTGGATTCTACAAGAAAACGTTTATCTTCTATACCTAATATGAATGTTGATATACTTTGATTTGTTATATTACTTAATGGATCAATAATACTATCTAATAGAAGCAATAATATACCAATGATATAACCTAATATATGTTGATATACTAATGTTATACTATCTAATATATACTTAATTGATACATTTTGAAGATTTTTGGAAGGGTAAAATTAGAATAACCAAAAAATGGGAAAAATAGATTTTAAATATTCCTAATTATTAATAGCTTTGTTTTTTATTAGTATTAATATTATGATAGTTTCTACTAATTAGGCAATAATTTGACTCATTTTCAGCACCGTCACTCGCTTTCTGAAAATTTAAAATAATTAATTGAACGAGAGAAAAAAAAATAGAAATGAAAATCCGGAAAAGTGTATTCATCACACAGAACAGAACACAGACAGCTATTGCTCTGCTTTCCGCTTTCCTTTGTTCTTCATATACTCCTCTCCTGCTCTTCTTCACTGCCTTTAATTCTCTCCTCTCTCTCTCTCTACATTTTTCCATTCCTCCCAGAAATTTGATAGATCTGGGCTTCTTCTCCGCTTTTCGGTGCCGAATTTCATCTCTCTGTTCTTTGATTCCTGCTCTTCCGTTTCGTCGATTCG